CCCCCCCCCCCCCCCCCCCCAGGCAGCAAGTCTGAGGTTTTTCTGCAAAGGCTCTTTTCCTTACTTGCCTTCTTTTTTCCCAGAATAGCACCTTTGTCTTTGCTGGTTCCCTCAGCTTTGGTTTGTCTTCTACACATCCGTTTCCTCTGTATCCTCACCTTTGCCCTGTACCTGATGGCGGATGGTGGTATTTTAGCAGCAGGCTGGCTGCTATTAGCACCTTGTCACTCTTCCTGAGGGAGGCAGGGTGAGCATGCCAGTGAGGGAGCTCATCAGATTCAATGCTTCTGCAGCTGGCAAAAGAAACAGACAGTCACCTCGGACCCCTGATGCCACCTTGGCTTCCTTATTTAAACAGGATGCCATTTTAGGTAAGGGAATTTATGTTGGATGCTTGCAAAAGTCATTTATTAACATTAATTTCTGACAAAACCACCACACGTGTCTACCAGGATGATAACGTCGTATTTAGTTAGCTTCCTTGCAGACAGAGCAAATTCACTGCATAGCAAACTGATGGGTGTGTTACTGTTCTGGCAATGGATACCTTACTCTTTTTCTTTAAAAGAAACTGTCTAAATACTGAAACATACCTTGTGCCCATATGATGTCCTCTTTTGCTGGAGAAATCAAGATTACAACTGCCAATTTCCTTCTCCTCATCAGCTGCCAAGATGAGCAATCACGGTCCTCCAAAGCCAGAGCACCGTGGCCAGCTGAGTTCATTAGCTTTTTATGGTGGTACGGGCTCATTCTTTATGATTAAAATGGCTCATCTAACTTGAACTGACCACCTCATTAATCTACAAAGAATGTGAAGCACATGGCATGAACCTCTGCAGGCCTCACACACCGAATTGAGAAGCGGAAAAGCGGAAGATGAAGGCTAGGACTCAGCTGAGATAGCAAGGACACTTTCGAGTCTCCTGCCTTCAGGGAATCGTTGGCAACCTTAGGGAGAATCTGAATGGCACTTGCCAGCTGTCTGGGGCAGCACACAGACTGACCCCTGTCATTTGCGGAAGAGCAGGAGCAACTTAATCTGCTGTCAGTCAGGTAGACTCTCATGAAAGAGGCTTCTTAATGGAGAAAACAGCTAGCCATGACAATACATGAGTGTAAAGCTCTGAAGATGCCTGCTCACTTCAGCCTCGTGGTATGAACTACTCATGTGTCTTTAAATTCTTTCTTAGTTCCAAGTTTAGCCCATACAGGTGCCAGCAACTTGCCCACCTCTTCAGAGGTATTTCACCACAGATCTATTATCAAACCAGGATAGGCAGCGCAAGGCCGTTCTTCCTGACGCACTCCCTGTCCAGTCTTCCGAAGTGGCGACACTTCAGCAAAGCAGGTGGCAAGACACGTATTTAACACCATCCTCCCAAGGGAAAGGCCTCCACCATGGGAAATCGAATTCGTTGGCACCATGGCATCATGCTTTAAGACTGGGAGACATTACTGTGCTGACAGTGAGGTGTCATGTTTGGAGGCTCCCCCACTTTCATTTCAGAGGTTCCAACAAAGCTGCAGTCAGTAACCCAAGCACAGCCTTCCCTGCCCTCCCACAGGTTTTCGCTGACAAGGCTGGCAGGGCCCTCTGCAAGCAGGGACTTCTGAGCAGGAAGGCACACACAGCATCACAGCAAGCGAGATGCTCTCACTGTGACTGACATCCTCTTTTGAAGAGTGGTTCTTCTGACCACCCTCACTGGTGGAGTGTGTGGGTGATGAGAACCTCGGTGCACACTTGGCTCGCCCGTGTGAGACTAAATCATAACGCTCGTGGCACCAAAAAAAACATCTGGATACAGCTCCATCTGCATTCCTATCGCATACTGAGACATACTCACATGCCTTTCAACCTGACCTGTAACAGCTGTAAACGTCATTCCTACATGTCACCCCATGTGTGAACCTCAGTATTAAAGGCTTTAAAGTCAACGACTGACACATAAGCTCTGTCCCCTTCCCTCTCCTGTGGGAGAAATGTTCTCACAGAGCTCAGGTCATGACAACTGGCATCATCTAGGTCTGCCATGGGGATGGGGCTGAGTCTACATAGATTTCAGCTTTGGTTGCCTTAGCAGGGAGGGCAGGGGTCCTAGAAGTCTAGAAATTGATAGCTCATACTTAGTATATAACTCAGCTGGCATCCTTGACTGATTAGTTCCCTTTTCATTTTATTATTAGACAAGTCTGGTTATGTAGCTCCAGCCAAGACTTTCCTCAGCTTCTCTAGAGCTGGAATTAAGGTGTATACTGTGCTGGCTACTAGCTGGTCCTCCTGAGGCTTATGGAATTACTTAAGGCTCAGTGCTAGCCCCATTTCACTGTTTATAACCAGCACAAATGTTGGTACGAATGGCCAATTGGAATGTAGTTTGATTACAAAAAAGATCCCTGATTTCAAGACAAAACTCTGAAATGGCATGCCAGGTTCAAGCACAAATCAGAAGCCAAGAGAACTGAACTGGCCCCAGGCTCAGTGCTCAGCAGCAGGGGTGAGCACTGGCTCATCCTTAGAGGGCAGGCTGTGCTGGGACTCTGTACCCACCCAGGACTAATTTAACACACAGGTTTCTGTAATTTAGACTAAAAACAAACCACCCTCCCTTTAAGTTTCTAAACTCTAAAAGAATGCTTTGCTTTTACAGAAATGGTTTCTTTTATCCAATAGACAGCAACGTGGTTCCCCCAGGTTCTGTTTCACAATCAGACTTTAAGAGAGATAAATCTTTAATAAAAGTTGAGTTCATAAAAACAAAACACCATAAAACAAAACTGGGAAAAGTGTCTAAAGAATGACAGCTACAAATGACAAACATCTTGTTCTTTACTGTCTATCTTAACAAATCTAATCTATGTGACTGGCTTCTTTAACGTAGTAACTTTGCTAATCGGCTTCAATCTAGGGCAAAGTAACACACCGTGTCCTTTGGTAGACAGGAGTGTGCTATCATGGCTGATCAGGGCCTCAGGAGAACGTGACAGAAGGTGCGTTGGGCTGCCACACGTTCTCATCGAACAAGTCTTCTGGAAGTTCTTCTTCGTCTCCATCGGGAAAGTAGGTGGGGAATGGCAGGCTTTTACAGAAATCCTTGTATGCGGGCAGCGTAGAGTCTTTGACCTGAGAGAATAACAGAAAAAAATCTAGCTCATACAATTACCAATTACGGTATTGAAAGGGCCCACTGACAAAGCGTACCTGCTGCTACATGTTTGAACAGAATGCGCCACTCCATACAGAGGCGAGCCAGAACTCTACTGTTACTTTTCTTTGTATTCTAGTTAATTTTGATTAATCAGTTTTCCTCAGTTCCATCAGCTACCCCAGGAGAATAAACCAGCAATTATGACTTTGTACCTTACTATGACTTGTGAGTACGTATATACTGTCCAGCAGGATGGATATGTTAAAATTACGTCTCAAATATCCTTTATATGCATATTTATTGTTCAAATATAAAGGTCTGATACTAAATACAAATTTAATACCTAATAATTATCCATTCTATCATCTATTTTGCCTGATTTGTTACTTTGTTTTCTATACCTAGAGTAAAATTTTGGAGGTGAGGCTTAAAACATGGAATTTACTACATTTCTGTTAGTGTTAACTAACTCTAAGAACACAAGGAGAAAGATGTCACTTTTATTAATGAAATTAGTTTACATTTGCCAAGAAACACTTTAACTGGGAAGTTAAAGACAGAATGATACTCAGCAAAAACAAAAAAAGAAACCCTAAATGTTTAAGTAGCTCTGAGAATATTTTATGGCTTAAAAATTTCAAATTGTGTTTTTATTTATAGCTGATGCACCTCAGCAGATATGCTAATAGGATCTAAGATGCTGCACTTTCATTTTGGATAAAGTTATTGGGATCTTCAAAGCCTCAGTAGCTTCATTCAGAGAAAAATACACTTACATATGCAGTAAAATACAGCATATTCATTTTAGCAATGAAAAATAAATAATTTAGTCAAAATTACTCAGCAGCTGCTAGAATCAGCTAAGTTTTTAAAGAGTTCTATTTTATGCCCCTCGCTATAATTGTTTCAAGAAATGATCAGGATGTTGCCCGGGAGGAAATCATGGTGTTTGGTTTTCTCCAATTCACCAACTCCTTAATAAGGAAAACACCCAGTAAGAAACCATGTGCTAATGTGATAAAATTATCACAAAGGATCCAAATAGTGACCCTCAGTTACATTTATACTGTTATATGCCCACTATATGTGAGGGTTTCCAATAACAAAGGCATTGATGATGTTTCCAGTGTATGTGAATATGACCTGCACTGTAAAATTAAAACTGCTCCATTTGTCTTTGTTGGCACATCAGGGATGGGATCACCTCAGCTGTGAAGCCGCTTACACTGAAGCGAGTGCATGTCTCTGTATCACCTGAGCCCCAGGCAGTCTTCGCTTTACATTGGGCTTTACTCAATGCAAGTAAATAAGTCTTTGGAAGCTCCCAGCTTTACCCCAGCCTATCTGGTCAACATGTTAGCTGTATTTATATTTATCCTTTATTTTCAGTTTTGACAAGCAGAGTAAGTGTTTGGGGAGCCTGGGGTGACAAAACAGTGTGGCAATGAGACCTCGACCATGGGCATCTTTCTGGATCCCGGGTTCCCACCTCAGCATTTCTGGTTCTTTAGCCCAAAGCTTTCATCTATTTCTAGAAGGACAGAGAGGAATACTGACACTTTGACAATGGCCCCTCTCTCCCCGAAGTCCTGTCTCCCACAAGGTTTTGAATTCACGGCTCCAGCATGTGGCCTATTTTATAATGCATCTTTTGTTTTCACTGAGGTGCTACTACAAAGAAAATTGGGGCAGAGAACATGTAGCGAGCAGAAGAACACATTTTTTTTAGATACTACATGTTTGGGCCAAAGAGAATTTCCGGACAATGTCTACATCACGGAGCGGCAGACAGCTGTGCATACCTTTACTAAGCAATTCTTATGTCCAGGCACAGAGCCATTTACATAGATGATGTTATGCTTGGTGTTCACTCTCCACACCTACAAGAAGCAAACAACTTGTGAGAGATGAAGGCTCCAGGAACTAGTAAGCAGTGTTACTTAAACCAAGAAGCACCGTTCAGTCGTGAGCACACGGGAACTGAGGGCCGAGCAGAGGCTGCTAGCTCAGAGTCATGTTTTAGTCATGTAAGAGCATTAGTGCACCTCACTTGATGTGTAGCTGCTGATGACTACTTCAACTCCACGGAGGCTGCTGCCGCTGAGGAAGATGGGAAATTCAGTTCTGGTACTGTTACTTTAGTACAACTAGCCACTGGGAATTCATAACTCACTGATTCTAATCTCTCAATTAAGCAGGAAAGCAGGCTGCCTTTAGAAACATCTCAACATGGAGGAAAACAAACACACAAACGAAAGGGAATGTTAAAAAAAAATGACAGTAAGAAAATAAACAGCACAGAGGAAACTGATGGACTCTACTAAGGTAAAATAGCAATGGTGGCCAACAGTTAGATTTATCTGATAATTAACTCTAGGTGCTGACTTGACTGAAGAGTGCTGACAATAAACCTGCCTTGTGTGCCTGCGAGGGAGTCTCTGTGTGGACTCTGTGTGGGTGAGCAACATCCAATCAGTTGGGGCCCCAAATAAGCCAACAAGGCCGAGAGAAGCATGTCCTCTCTAGGCATGGAGCTCTGGGCTCTCTGGACTCTGAACCCAGTGCCTGCTCAGGTGCCTGCTTCATTCTTAGGACCTTCTGCTTCAGACTGAGAATTTGACTGCTGGGCTGGTTTCCTCGCTGAGGTTTTGAGCTGAGTCAGGGCTGCAGGCCTTCCAGGAATTTCAGCCTGTAGGCAGCCTACTGTGAGATTTTTCAGCCTTCATATAAAACCCGCAGATCAGAATCCTAAAAATATCCTTCCATGTACCTATCAGATTGTTTACTCAGTCAAGCATCCATCCACTCATCCAAATAGTCCCCCAACCCCGGGGAACCAGGATATAATTATATAAAATTACACATAAAATGTATGTAGAATAAAGATGGAAACAACACACGCAAAATGCAACAGCGGCCACTTCTGGTGGTGTTGCTATATACATACAAATACACACACACACACACACACACACACACACACACACACACACACACTTGTTTTAATGAAAAGTATAAGCATATAGCACCATTAGAGTACAAATTATCTTCATTTAGCTATCGAGACTTTCTCAGATTAGCAGATCAAATATGAATTTCTCGTTAACACGGACAGATACGCTTTATGAAAGTCCATGTGCCACACTGAGTGCTCTCTCCCCTCTACTGGCACTGTCTTCTCTGCTTAGCCACATCTACTCCACTCACACAGTTGACATGTAATCCCAGACAGCTTGGCATATAACCTTCAACTTCTCTGTGGCTACAGAATACACAGAAACAATGACGAGGAGGTTTTGTTCTCTCTATAAAGGACAGCAGTACATCTAATGCTTGGACTCTTTCCCCCACCTTGTGACTATCTTGTGAAAACTTTCCAGTACAAATAGCAGCTTACTATTTTTTTCTTTATAACAACTGTGCATCTAATGGCTTAAATGTGAAATATAACTATACAGTCTCCATTACATTACAGCACAACTCATTTCTTTTGATGACTCTAATTCATGGCTACAAGTCAACCACACACCTCACACTCTCCCTCTGTTAATAGTCATGAAGTGCACTTGTTCAGGATGGTCACACGAACACACACACACACACACACACACACACACACACACACACACACACACATCATCCTTTAGGACTTTGCATGTAAACTTAAAAATAGTACTTTACAGACTTACTTTCAGTCCATATACTGTCCTGTCCTTGTTTCCCATTTGCCCAGGCATTTTAGTTCCAGGCCAGACTCTGGAAATATCCTGAACATCAAAAAACAAAGTTCACATTTTTAGTACTTTTGATTGACTAAATCACAGCAGACACCACAAACAAGAATAAGTAAGTTCTAATCTTTCAAACCTTTATTCAGCTGGCTCAATCAAGACTGGAAGATGGATGTATATGCATTTACTATGTTGGAACACAGTCTCAAAATGGAATTGTGTGAGAATTGTGAGTGCTTGTGAGAAAACTCCAAGAAAATAAGACAAGATTCTTGTGACCTTAGTTTCTTTTTCTTTATTTTGGAAATTATTTTTTTTTAAACTTTTTAATATTTTAAATAATTTATTCACTTTGTATCCCAGCTGTAGCCCCCTCCCTTTCTCCTCCCAATCTTACCCTTCCTCCCTCATCTCCTCCCCTGAACCTCCCCCAGGATAGGGGAGGTCCTCCTCCCCTTCCCTCTGACCCTAGCCTATCAGGTCTCATCAGGACTGTCTGCACTGTCTTCCTTTGTGGCCTGGTAAGGCTGCTCCACCCCCAGGGAGGTAATCAAAGAGCCAGCCACTGAGTTCATGTCAGAGATAGCCCCAGTTCCCCTTACTAGAGTACCCACTTGGAGACTGAGCTGCCATGGGCTACATCTGTGCAGGGTTTCCAGGTTATCTGCATATATGGTCCTTGGTTGGAGTAAAGACCGCTGGGCCCAGATTTTTTGGTTCTGTTGTTCTCCTCCTAGTGGAGCTCTTGTCCCCTCCAGGTCTTTCTATCTCCCCCTTCTTTCATAAGATTCCCTGCACTTTGCCCAAAGTTTGGTTATGAGTCTCAGCATCTGCTTCAATATCCTGGTGGGTAGTCTTTCAGAGGCCCACTGTGGTAGACTCCTGTCCTGTTCCTTGTTTCACCATCTTCCGATGTCCGTCCCGTTTGCCTTTCTGAATGAGGATTGAGCTTCCTTAGGTGTACAGATTTTAGTATGATTAACCTATATTTGTATGTCTAATATCCACTTACTATAGAGAAACAGTAATAAAAACTGCATGGTACCGGCATAGAAACAGGCTGGTAGATAAATGGAACGGAACAGAGGACCCAGAAATAAACCCACACACTTATGGTCACCTGATTTTTGACAAAGATGCCAGAACCATTCAATGGAAAAAAAGATAGCATCTTCAACAAATGGTGCTGGCTTCTGTGTCCCCTTCACGTGTCTATCATTTGTTTCAGCACTTCCTTGTTTTCCCGTCTGTGGCATTTTAGGTTCATTGTGTCTCTCCAGTGCTGTGAATTAAGTAAGCCAACTACTGAGGGCTCCTTTCTGTGGGCCACGATGTTTAGAAACCAAGTCCTGCACGCTAGGTTCACTCCCTGCACTGGAGCACTGTGTACGTCACTGCAGCAGGCAGGGAAGACATAGACAGACACACGCATGAGCGCGCGCGTGCACACACACACACACACACACACACACGCACGCGCACACACACACACACACGCACGCACACACACACACACACACACGCGCGCACACACACACGCACACGCACACACACACACACGGCAGGGACATACTGATAAAATAGGATTCAAGGCTCATTCTAATTCCCCCTTCATACCTTCGCATCCTTTTCTAACAGAGGAACTTGATTTTTGGCTCCCATCATCAATATATTTATTTTTCTGCCCAACCCTACAATTTACAGAAAATTACTTCTGAATTGCTACAAAAAGCAATTAGAATTTAACATTTGTGTAGTATGTTTGTTGTGTATGATTTACTTTATTTACTTGTATTTGTGTGTACAGAGTGTATATGCATATGTGTGTGTGTCACACCTGTATGCATGTGGTGCTGGAGCCCTTGGAGCTGGGTTCACGGGCATTTGCTGGACCCTTGGCTTATTATGTGCATGCTGTGATCTGAACTCCGGACCTCATGGTTGCTCAGCAATCGCTCTGAACTGCTAAGCCACTTCCAGCTCAAAGAGTACACTTTTACATTTACACTCACAGGATAAAAGCAGGCAACTATGTTAAAATACTTGAGTTAGTTATTTTTCCTCCCTCTTCAGGTATGTGCTTGCCATTCAGCTGAAATACTTAGGATCATTTTCTAAATATATTTCATGTTATATTTACCTTCCTTGTTGTTTCTATTTTGAAACTGTAAAACATTAGCTAGGCTCCAGGAGTAAAGACTATGGCAGAGAAAGATTATCTTCCACCCGAGTCATTCTACCTGGCTGCCACCCATCACCTGGAGGGAAGTAGTCTCGCTGCACCTTCCTGGCTGGCAAGGATGAACCACACATGCATACTTCCTAGTTTGCTGCAAATCACCACTGTTCCAGAGAGGTCTCTCTCACTCATTTTTTTTTCCCCCTAGAGCAGCACTGTTTTCTCTACGTAGACATACCAACATTTCACCCACTCAAACGCAAGTGTGGGTATCATTCTTGCTAATTACAAATAACAAGGCAGGCCTAACTTGTGCCAGTGCACTGGCGAGAACGTTCTTAGGGCAAATTCCAAAAGAAGCTCTTCTGTGTCCCAGGAAATGCATGTGCAGTTTCACCAAGGTTCTGTCTGTTCCCCTTCCTTAGGGCTGTATTCTTTTTTTATGTTCCCATCACTGATTTTGATTTCATGGATCTCTCTTCAGTAGACAGTATGACAAAAATTGAGCAACATGGAATGCAATCTGCTAGGTGAGAACTCAGTACCTGAGGGGAGCTGTGATTTGCTTCTTATTGTGAGAGGAAGAGTATGTGACCAACCACCACCATTAGATGCTGACTTTGCATTTCTTCTGAGGCTTCAAAGGTTGTTTTAAAAGCTCCCTAGGCAGTCTCTGCTCTACCTCTGGGAAAGAAACACTGAATTGGCAGCACAAGGGTCTTGTCTTCATTTCTTCCACTATTACTGTTTATTTCTCTGCTTATCGAAATGGCTTTCCCCCTGTACTACATGTAATAGCACCTTGCAAGCTCACACACCTGTTTCCTTTAGAGCAAAGCAACTGTGTGATGCGGCGAACAGAAAGTACTGCCCACAGGTAAGTATGCACTAGGAAAATGGGTGAGGCCCGCGGAAGAGTGACAATGACTAGGCCCCAACTAAAGTCAGGTAAAAGCATCTGACCTGTGCTGACAAACAGTGAGCACTGTGTGCAGAAGTTGGGCAATGGCCACTAGAAATTATCACTGTCCACACTGTGGCTGATGCCTGTATTCCTAGCACTCCAGAGGCTGAGGCAAGAAAGGTACTGCAAGTTCTGGGCTAACCTGGGCTACAGAATGAGCTCCTGCCCAACTCACACCACCTGCAGTGAGCAGCACTATTTATACTCACCCCCGTTGAGGTGGCACCAGCTCTCCTGTGGGTCTTTGTTTGACCATGGGAAGCAGGTTGGCCTTTAAATCCAAATCTTTTCATGACGCCCTGAAAACCTTTACCAATACTGGGGAAAAAAAAAAAAAGTTAGAATTTACATAATGAATGTAATATAAAATATTTCTGACTGTACTTTTTTTGACAGCACCTTGGAGTTCTAACAAGACTTCTTATCTAAATAACCAGAAAAGGCCATACCAGCCAAACTGCAAATGAACATTTCTTTTTCTGTCTGGGTTTACACCTCCCTCCGGAGTCTAGCTCTGTATAAAATGTTATGTCAAGACTATGAGACAACAGCAAACCAAGCATGGGGAATTTACCTGTGAAAGGTTCATCCTCATAATCTTGTGATACAATAGAAAAGCTCGAGACGTTTCAGCCTCATTACAGACATGGCAGGCAGCCCTGAGGATGAAGTCCAAAGCCCTCTATCTCCTATTATTCACGCTGTGTTTGATCCTCTTCAGCCTGGGACTGATTCAGTCTACTGAATAAAAATATGCTAAGAGATGAGATGTCAGCCTGAGGTTTGGTTACAAGAGACCCTTCTCTGATACTATTTTTTTCTTGCTTTCTAGGCTCTGCAAGAAGCAACTGCCACTATATAAGCACTTCTATGGAGCAGAATGTAGCAGTGGTAATTCCAGTCAACAGCTGAGGCCCTGCTGCGGCCAACAGCCATGCCAGTAAGCCTGGAGGCAATTTTTCTCTGGTCAGGACCCAATGTGATTGTAGCCTTGGGAGAGACCCTAAGCCAGATGCAGGCAGGCCAGTGTGCTGAATTTCTACCACAGACACTGAGGTTGCGGAGGTTTACTCAAGCAACTGTGTGAGGGCAAGGAGTCAGGGAGCAACAGCTAAGGCACAGAGCAGAGCACTGAATAAGTAAACACCTAGACACTGGACAAAGTGGAAGGACACCAGATGGCTCCTGATCAGTGTTGCATAGAAGCTGGCGTTAAAGCAAAGGTAGAGAAAGGCAGCTTCTTAACAACCTAAACATTATTTTTAAATGAAAATACTTTATTGCGGAGTCTGTTAGAGAAATAAGGTAACAACACCAAGTTCGAGCATTACTAAAGGCCATCTCTGAATGTCAAGTACATCTCTACAGATGATACTGTGAAGGGCCAAAAAGCTTGTCTTCACCTTTCACTAGGCAGTAGCAATAGATTTTAATGTAGTGTTGTGTAGTTTCAACAAAGCTAGTTCTGACTAGATGTGGACTGTTCAGACCAATTACAAAATAGCATGAAAACCATGCTGTTCTGAAGGACTTCGCTATGCTTTTATTAACAAAATGTCCCTTGGGCAACAGTTTTAGATAAATTAAGAACTTAACACAAAAACAGTGTAAGTTATAAATAGAACCCAACAGGCAGACATTCTCAAACCACACGTCAAGACTTGTTTATAAATAAGTTATATGTAGCTTACAACTCTCTCTGCTAGCATATACTTCCTCCTCCTTCAATAACTAAAAAAGTGAGTATTCCTATTAAAAAGCTAAAATAGAAATGTAACATATATCCAATGGAAAAATTACTGCATAATTTTATAGAGATGAACACCAAAGAGAAGCTAAATAATCAAATTATGCTTCAGAAATTATTAATATTTCCACTTTTTTAGGGCATATTTGCAAAGCAATGTAAAAAGCTTAGCAATTAAAAATGAATAGAAATAATTGAAAAATAATTTGGAAGTATTCTATCATTTAGCAAGCCCCTAAGAGCAGAAGGGGAGAGGGACCAGCAATGCTCATCTTGAAGGCACATGCTTTAAAAATACCAGCTTCGCATGCTGGCTGCTTTTTGTAGAAGTTCACTACTGCCTTCGGAGTTCTCAAACTGATTATCTGCCTTAAAGAGTCAGTGTGAGTGCATACACCAGAACAACCCAAGCAGGTAAATTACAGAAGATAATTGAGCTCATTTCAGAGTAAATGATTACAAGATGAAAGTGGTACCCTGAAAGTGCTAATTATGTGCCAGCTAATTGCAGATTGTTTTTCAGTCTGGGTCTGGAACACATCTTGAGTTCCACAGTGTACAATGGGAACCTCTTCAGTAAATAACCTTTAAACAAAAGGCGAAAACACAAGTGACATGACAATTATTGGCTTAATTCAGGATGCGGAGAATAGAGTGCACCTGTTGATCCAGGGGAGGCACAGGTAGTGAGTCTTTCCCTTCTCCCAACTGCTATCCAACTTGACAACAAAAGAAAAACAAAAGCAAAGAACGAACTAATCTTTACTTTGCATACCCTGCTGTGTTTCAAATGTAATACTTTTATAAGTTGCAAACACAACACACACACACACACACTTCATAGAAAATTATACACAACACACAGGTCTACCTCCCTTACCCTTCACCCACTGTGGGGTTTTGTTTGCCTGAGACAGGGTCTCATGCTATGGCCCTTGTGGGGTTTTGTTTGTGGCTTGCTTGTCTAAGACAGGGTCTCATGCTATGGCCCCTGACTGGCCTAGAGTTCACTCTGTCACTCAGGCTGGCTTAAAACTGATGCAATCTTCCTGTCTCCAACAGGAATATATTTGCAGGTATGCACCACTCTTCCTGGCTATCCAATGTAGTTCTTAACTAATGGCTGCAGAAATAAAGCAAAATTCAAATCAGAGAGAATGCAATTTTAGACATTCCAATCTTAGTGAGACTTATCTGAAAATGAGGACAACAAAAATGAATTTATTTACATTACTTAGACTATTTAAAAAGTCATTTAAAAATAAGGAACACCTCAGGGGTCTCATTTACTTTAGAAGACTACTGGCCCCATTCTTCAGCCATGTCCCCACATGGGCTACATACATGGCAGAGATATAATGCCTTAGCTCGCCTAGTGTCCAGCCTAAAGAAATGAGCCTAATGTGCACCACTGCAACTGCTATGTCATTGGAAGAAAGAAGAGGAGGAGGAGAAAAAAAGGTTAGGAGCAACGGTTCTCAACCTGTAGGTTGTGGCCCCTCAGTGAGACACGTTCCCCTTTCACAGGGGTTACATATCAGATATCCTGCATATCAGATTATTTACATTACGACTCATAACAATGAAGTAGCAATGAAAATGATTTCATGGTTGGAAGTCACCACAACATGAGGATCCGCATTAAAGGGTCACAGCATGAGGAAAGTTGAGAAGCACTGGTTTAGAGGCTCACATGAGTAACTATACCCTTCCAGGAGGTAAGGCACAATTTACTGTTTCCCAATTCATCCTACCACTCGTACTGGTTACTACTATGAGAATATCATCCCCTGACCACACCACGACAAACACCTAGATATTGACAACAAACATAGCTTTAAAAAAAATCCATCAGGTATTTCTCTACACTGCAGGGCAATCTTTCTAATACTTGCTCCTAGGGACAACACATGTGAGGTGAGGAGAAAGTACATAGCTGCTCTGAACCATCTTTGCCCAGTTCTGTAAGGATACCTTCAGAGTCCTACCCAGCACTTCCTTTCCACTGGCTTCTGGCAGATCTCTCTCCTTTTCTTTCTTCTCTTTTCTCCTCAAACTCACCATTCACCTCTGCAATTTATTTTCTTTCTTAATTAGTTTCTGGAAATCTAATCCAAAACTGCAAATGACTTTCAGTAACATAATTTTTGTTCTGAAAAGTGGTGCACATACTGAAGAACAGAGATGAACTGAAGCCTGGGGCATCCATCACTCACTGCCAAGTACTGACTCCAGGCCTGCTGTGTTTCATCTGTTTCTCTTGCTCGGCAATTCTAGTAGGGTACTGAAAAGCAGTCTCCAAATAGTCTACCCTTTACATCACAAACACTGCAGTGTAGAAAGCTAAGGATACATTCAAATGACAGAACCACAGTATTGTTACCACAGCTTACAAAGTGAATAACTCCGTAACATCAGCTATGCAGCCAGTGCTCAGAGGTCCAAGCCCTCTTCACAGGGCTGTCCTGTGTCCTTTTTTGGTATCTCCCTACCCTCTGCATCAATGTTCACTTTGTGGGTTCCTTCATCTTTGAGATGCCCTTCTTCTGAACACCTCATGAAAAGGCAGCCTGAGGATGCTGCATCTGATTCTCTTCTCACTCTGGTTAGCTTGCACTGACCACCTGCTTTTGTAAATGAGGGGCTTTTTTGGAGTTTAGACATGCACATTAATTTACATGCTGACTCTTTTAGAGTTATAGAAAGATGTTTTGATGTATTAGAAAATATCAGAATTGAACTCTTAATGACCTCATGCGTTCTATTTCTTTTTCAAAGTACTTATTACTGAGGATGGAACTTTCCTTTTAAACTTTAAACAAAAAGCAGTGATAACATGGTTGGGAGGGCCATTGCTCCTGAGCAGGTAGAAACTCAGTGCCAGGCTTGAGCCAAGTGCTCCAAGCTCTTATGCTAAACACAAAGTAGTTAGAGATTGAGGAACTTGCCTTGGTCACACAGTTATTGAGGCTATGACACAGTTATTGAGGCCCTAACCCTAGGTCACTTATTACTTATTAAGTCTCAGTCTTGCTGACCTTGCTTTTTGTTGCTTGGTAGATTTAAAATTAGGAAAGCAATTATAGATTATTACTAAAATATGTTTAAACAAACAAACAACAACAACAACAAAAAACCAAAAAAACCCAAGATAGAACCTTAAAACACTTCCCCCTAAACTAATCTTCATCTAGAAACAAGCATTTGATTTAAGGATTATTTTTAAGAGATTATCTCTAGAAACTAAACACTCATTTCATTGTATCAACTTACTGCTCCAAATGGCTACTAAATTAAGTTCAAAATGGATTAGAAATGGAGGACAAAGGAAAAGTCTGTTCCCACATCAGTCACAGGAGAAATGAAATGAGGGGACACAGAACCTATACCCGTAAGTCAATGTCCCCCTTGGTTAATGGGGAAAACAATCCTCTCATGGGCTCCCAAGGGCTTAGATTCCAAACAGGGGAACTGCCCTCCAAATGAGAAGCTTTGAGGGAAGTACGCTAAAAAAAACTTAAAAGGAAAAAAGAAAAACAAGCAACTGCATGTGAGCTGTGTAGACACTCCACAGCCCAGGAAGACAATGGCAGGGAAAAGAGGATGAATAACAGCTAAGAAGTTCAAACCAAGTTCCACACAAGTAACCAGCCGTTCAGCCTACAAACATTTAAAAGTGCGGGAGGAATGCAATGACACACCAGCTAGACGTGGCACACTCCATGGAAACGCTCAGCAAAGTTACGTAAAATCCAATTGAAGCTGGATCTCAGGTAAGTCAGTCTACATGAACACAGATTAGAATACGGTGTGCTTCCACAGGGCAAACCACTCCTCATCCTGTGATGCAGTCATGCAGCAGCAAGGACCACCCAGTGGCCTCCTTTCTTCCACAGTTGACTGTCAATGCTTTAATGCTAAGGCTATTTGTTCTCCTGGTCCCTATTTGCAATTTAGACTGGACACTACCACATAATTTCAAATCATCTTGTTTTCTAGAAATAGGAGCTTACTAAAGAAACACTCCCCAACTTTATACACAAGAATACTGGAATTACCAAAGGGTTGGGAAAAGCCAAAGACACTCATCAGCTCAACGGTTTGAACTGAAGGCATCCACTGAGGACAGTCACCGGAAAAGCTAAGCTCTATGCCAATCTAGTTCCAAGCTGGACACAAGACATGTGCTGACACAGCTCTGACTCTGCACACCTCCTCAGAGAATCCCATATGTCCTGCAAGGTATGTAATAGAATCCAGTGCATGTAAATTCACTGGATTAATGCATGGTATCTTATAATTTGTAATAATTCATAAATTTAGAAGTAAAATAATCTGGTTTGTAAGCCACAGTTTTTATTGGTTACCCAAACCAAAGCTTAGAAAAACTGAACAATAGTCTCCAAGAGACAAGTAAGTGATTTTACTGGCTTCGGTAACTAGGGGAAATAAAAAAGGACAGGTTCAGAATCTCTTAAAGACCCTTCTTATTGTCAACCTACCCCACAGGTACCTCTACAAAGCTGGACAAAGGTAAAGGCATCTAGCAGTTTCTGTGGCGGCCTGTTTGACGGGAGGTGCTCATATGTGGAAATGAATCTACCAACTGCCATCGCTAAGGAAACTAAGGCACACAATCATCAGGCTTCTTTAGATTAAAAACTGCTGTTTGGCCACCACCACTACAAAATAAATACAAACTTCCCAGAGTATACCGATGCCTTTATATGTCAAAGGGCTCTCGATGAGCATATCTTTGTAGGCACTGTCATGTGACTAAGAGGAGAAAACAAACACATAAGACTGAAGACAGGATCCATGATGAGAGAACAAAATTGGTAACAATTGGTGCTTGAGTTTTTGCTGTTGTAGGTTGTGGGAGTTCCAACAGCCAGTAGAATCCAGATTGCAAGCAGCTACATGGACTTGGTGCTCTGTACTGCAGAGCAGTAATGAGCTCCTGGAATCATATAGACACTACTACACCATGTGGCAGAAATGGTTAAAGTATCTAAATACTAGCCCAGACTAAATGGATCAAGGTCAGCATTCTGTTAGTGGCTGTTAAGTGATCACCTCTAAGATGGCTTCACTTTCACAAATAGTATAAAATCTTACGACTCCCAGGAATTGGAAAGAATACACCAAACTAAATGCCAGTGATTGCAAGAGTAATCTACAACCATTGCTCAGCTGTGTTTCACAATCAAACTGTGTGTTGTCTTGGTCTTCAGAGCAGACCTAACCAGGACAGCATTTCATTCATGTGACCCTGAATGTTCTGTTTAACACAGAAAGAAAAACAAAGCAAAGGAAAATTACTGAGTACCTACGTTCTGGCTGTGACATCCACATACTGTCCAGGGCGAAAGTGAGCGGCATAAAGAGGAGTCCCTTTGTGAAAGAGAAAATGAGAATCGATATTATGTCAGCACAGAAATGAGTTTATCCAGATACTTCAACACTGCAGCCCACAGCTGTGGTTTCAAATGCTTACAGCTATTCCTCTGCAATTAGGAACACTAGAACCACCCCCCAAAAGGAAGCCGTCCAAAAACAGGTTCTATTAACAATGAGAAGGCTGAAAAATAAGGAGACCCCACTTAAGGTGCATCTGAACGTTCAGAGTGAGCTACCAGACTACAACTGACAGGCTAGTGCCTTCATGGGGCTTATGTGGTACTGGTCAAAATATCCTGTGCTAATTACAGTCCCCTTGCTGGCAAACAAAGTTTAATGATTACTGGTTGTTTCAGTGAGTAAGTATGCTGAATTAAAATACATTATCCATCATTATCCATTTCACATAAGGGGAAAAGAAAAAACATGAGAAGAACTTAACATGCTAGGGTTTGATGCAATCTTTCAACATCCAGTGGACTAGGACATGTACTTAACTGACTCAGTTTCTCCTCTGCATGGTATTCATTATGGTGTATACATTCCTTTAGCACCTGTTCATGTCAGATGAGTTCTATTCTAGGCATAGTACTGATAAAAACTCAGGCCTACGTCTTTGAATTAGACAAATCCTGCCTTTTTAGATAGTCCTGCTTCTCTATTAGAAGCGCTTGTAAGGCACAGCCCTGACCTCAAATATTTGTTATCTTGGTTAACAGTCAACACTACACCACCAACTAAGAGCCTAATTATAAAAAAGAAAAAAAATGAGAGATCAATGTCGCTGAAGGAAATTGAAAACCGGTTTTAGTTTGTTTTTTTAGTACGAAGAGTGGGGTTCAGTGGTATTTAAGAAAACAGTTTCTTTAAGGTAAGATTAATCTAGGGTTGTAGGGAAAAGCAAAATCCTTACATAGGGACTTCATTCTATGTATGCCAAAACATAATATTATACTCTGTAAATAAATACAAATGATTTGTTAATTAAAAATTACCAATTTAAAAAAAGAAAAATTAAGGGATCACAAAACACCTCATTTTTGCAAGGCTGAACAACTCAAACTGCTATCACTGACTCACAAAAATATAATTTAATATGGTTAGGGTTACAGAAAAAATTAATGTGGACTTGACTTTTATAACTATCCTAACCAAGAACAGAGGGCTTAGACAAACTAGATATACTAATATCGAAGTAAATATTTAACTTGTCTTCAGAACAAAGTATTTCAGAGCAATTCCATCATATTTAAAGTGGAATATATGGCCATTACAAATTAGAACAATATACAATGCCATAAGACTTATACTAATTTTTGTAATTAAATTTATTTTGCCTTCGAGTTAAAAAGTTTTAACTTAAAACAATTCACTACCTTCTTGTTGCAATTCAAGTTCAAATACTGAGAGGCTCTCCCAAACTATCAGAATGCCATACTTTGCTAACCACAGCGTCAGTATAACCACAAACCTGAACTCCATTCCACTGACAGGGAAATCAACTCTTACCCCAGGGGCTATGTTTCCTGTGCTCCTTTTGAGGCTGTATTTTCTCACTCTCCAGGGGAGTGTAACAATTCCAGGCAGAATGCTAGCCTGAAAACCATGAACACACTTGAAAGCTGGAGCCCTTCCTGGGAGAGGCTTTTAAAAATGTGACACTCTCCACATTTGCAAACAAGAGTTGTCCCTCCCTCTCAGGGAGAACAAAGAGGATCCTACAGCTTTCTCCACTTTCCAGAGGCAAAGACTTGTCTCCTCCTAGTGATTAAATTTGATAGGTTTTATATTTAAAAGTAAGTGTTCGGGACTTTGTATTGTGTTTATCTTTATTGAAAGGCTGACATTAAAAAAAAAAAACCCACATATTTGGGTATTTTTACCTCCCTCCTCTCCCGACCTCAGATTACCTGGCTTAATTACAGCATTATCTGTTACATTAAAGATTTTAATTTTCTGTTTTGGTGGCAATCCGAGTTCTTGGTAAAATTCCAATATAGAGTCACGTTTCTAGAGGGAAAAGCAGCACATATAAGCAACATTAAACAGTACAAGTGGACCTGGACGTAGAGACCCAAATCGTTTCAAACACCAAGAAAAATAAAAATCAACGCATACTCTATTTGTCTACTGAACCAACAGCATCTAATTCCCACTGTTTAAGGAAGATGAGATTAGAGATATCTATAATCCATTACATACTTAAGATCCAGCCATGTGCACAAGTCTCAGAGAGAATGTATGCCTTGCTGGGCTGAAAGCACACCGATACTGCCTCAGGTCCTTTGTCTACACTAGTCACTCTGTTCATAGACTTTTCCACTAGATTTGTGGATGACCTGCTCTCTTAATTACTTAGGCCTCCTGAGTTACTGTCTACAACAGAACCATTTTTTGTCACCTAGAAAACCTTCAACCTATTTTTCTTATTCATTAGACTATTTACCTGCATCCATCATGATAGTTTTTTTCTAAGTAATCATCTATACCTGCAATTCAGTGGACTGTATCTTGATGGACCGCACAGTGAACACTGCTGTTCTAGCGGGCCGCACAGTGAACTGTTGTTCCCTACGAAAGACAGATTCAGTCCTCATTCTCTGCTCTTTCCCTTCTAGCTTGCTGAAAAAATACCAAAACCCCTTTCCTCACTTTCACTCACTTCTACAAGAGCAAACACAGATGCGCTCCTTACAAGTCTGACTCCTTGAAATTATTTTCCTGATGTTTCAAATTCAAATGTATTTCATTTAAAATGTTTCAAATTTGCTTTTGACATTCACATAGTTCAGTCAATTAATTAAGCAAAATATTATTTTATCAACACTGGATTTAGAGTGTACTAAGAAACTTCTGAGAAAAAAAAAAAAAACCCTTATGTTTTGGTACAAAATAAGAGACATGAACACCAGAGCCTAAGTTAACACTAGACTCCAGCTGAAGAAGGACTAAGACAACATATATGTCTTAATTATTTTTTAGTTTCACTGAAATTGAACAGTTGTTTCAACTAAAAATCACAATGTTATAAAACTGGGTCTTTGTCATGAGAAAAAACAAATACTCAAATTAAAATAAAGCCAGAAGTATTGTAAGAGTCTGGTCAGCCCCCTCCCCCTTTAAACCCCCAAGTAAATGATGCAGAAAGGCAATTTAGAGGCTGACAGCACTGTCACACGTGGGTGACCCCGTCCACGAAGCTGTCTTCCCTCTGCAGAATTCCTCCTTGGCAATTATCTTTCCTGCAATGAAAGCGCTGCTCTGCTCCCAAGATGAATTGATTTAATCAACTTTTGGAGCCACTTAATGTTCTTACAAAGAAACACTATGCACCACATCAGTTTTTATTTATAAGATACAAAAATAGCAAAACCAAACTAGTCTACTTTCTTTGCAGATTAAAAAAAAAAAAGTTCCAGCCCTATTATAAATAAAACTGTTTTCATCAATTTATTTTGAGTGGCCAGCTACTCAATATTGTATATTCACAGGTCTTGTAAAAAAAACCCAACAAACTAAAAGATAAAAATAAAACCTGTCTATATAGTCGGTCTATTTGCAGTTTTCCTGAGGGCTAAAACATGTAAGTAGTTGATATACTTTTAGTTTGGAAAATCACCCTTTCTTCTCGGATGTTTCTCTAGATCTGTTATGCATATGGCTATTATTTCTGACTAAAAGGGAATCTGTGGTGATACACGAGTTCCCATCAGTTTAGGTCTATGATTTTTTCCTTGGAAAAAAATGCATTTTCATGTGTATTTCCAAGTGTCAAGAGGTGAGGACTAAGAGAGATATTCTCATATAAGTGTCACTGCTTCATAACAGTAACGAGATGCATTTTAAACTAAGTGTCAAATTACTGCTGTGTGCAAGCGGAAAAACATAGCAGTCGTTGGGACCTTACTCAGAGCCTAAGGATTTTTAAGTAGCGTATGTTTAAACTACGACACTAAGATCACACCCATCAGCAGTTGAGTCTTGGCAGCAACTGAAGTCTAGCAGACTGATCTCAGAGCCACAAAACTGTTCCCCTTTCCATTTGTTGTGTAATTGTTTTCCTAAAATATTAATCAGGCACTCATTCTGCTTCTATTATTTCACTTAACTTCTTGCTCAGAAAAAGCAAGAACAACAAAAATATAATAAATGCCTCAAGTATCAGAAAATCCAGAGTTGAGAAAAGTGAGGTCTGTGCCTTTAAAAACAACTGTCTGTCTTCCCTCTTTTCAGCTACTCTCAGACTGCCACATTAGGCTTTTGTTGCAATAAACAAAATGTTTTAGTAATATTTACTCATTTTTTATTCATTTATTCACTTTACATCCCGATTGTAGGCCCCTTCCTTGTCTCCTCCCAGTCTGTCCCTCTCCTCCCCTCCCCCGCAGCCTTGTCCCATAGTCTTCAGAAAGGCGCAGCACTCTTCTCTTACCAACTGACCCCAGACTATCAAGTCTCTTGAGAACTGCCTGCATCCTCTTCCTCTGTGGCCTTGCCTGGGGGAAGTGACTGAAGAGCAGGCAATAGAGTTCATGTCAGAGATAGCACCTGGTTCCCTTACTAGGTGACCTACATGGAGACTGAGCTGTCTATCAGCTACCTCTGAGCAGGGGGCCTGGGTCCTCTCCCTACATGGTCCTTGACTGGTACATCGGCCTCTACAGGACCTCTACAGGACCCTCCTGGGACCAGATTTGTTGGCTTTGTTGGTCTTCTTGTGGAGCTCCTGCCCTTTCCGAGTCCTTTTTTCCCCGCCCCCTGTCCCCTTTCCTATGGTTCCCTGAGCTTGGCCCAAAGTTTGGCTGTCTCAGCATCTACTTTGATCCCCTGCTGGGTGGAGTCTCCCAGAGGACATCTACAGCAGGCTCCCATTCTGTTCCCTCTCTTGAACCGCTTCCAGTGTCTATTCTAACCGCCCTTCTGAATGAGAACTAAGCACCCTCCCTTGGATCCTTGTTGTTACTTGGCTTTTAGGTCTATGGATTGTAGTATGGTTCTCCTGTATTGTATGGCTAATATCTGCTTATAGGTGAGTATATACCATGTGTATCTTTCTGGGTCTGGGTTCCCTCACTTAGGGAGATCTCGATCTTTTCTAGATTCATCCATTTGCCTGCAAATTTAATGATGTCCCTGTTTTCAATAGCTGAATAATATCCACTGTGTAAATGTACCACAGTTTCTTTATCTACTCTTTGGTTGAGGCACATCTGCATTGTTTCCAATTTCTGGCTATTAAGAATAAAGCCACTATGAACATAGTTGAGCAAATGTCCTTGTTGTATGGTGGAGCATATTTTGGGTATATGCCTAGGAGTGGCATAGCTAGGTGTTGAGGTTAGAGCTGTTTTCAATTTTCTGATGAAGCACCAGACTGTGGATCAATGGAATCAACCCAGAAATAAACCCACACCTCTATGGACAATTGATTTTTGACACAGAAGCCAAAACCATAAACTAGAAGAAAGATAGCATCAACAAATGGTACTGGTCTAGAAAAATGCAAATAAATCCTTATTTATCACCCTGCACTCAACTAAAGTCCAAGTGGATCAAAGACCTCAACATAAAACCAGACACACTAAATCTACTGGAAGAAAAAGGAAGGGCCTTGAACTCATTGGCACAGGAGACAACTTCCTGAACAGAACACCAACAGCTCAGGCTCTGAGATCAACAATTAATAAGTTGGACCTCATGAAACTGAAAAGCTTCTGTAAAGCAAAGGACACTGTCAATAGAACAAAATGACAGCCTACAGACTGGGAAAGGATCTTCACCAATCCTACATCCAACAGAGGCCTAATATCCAGAATACCTTTTCTTTTTAAACAAAAACACTTTATAAATGGTGAGTGCTTCCCACAGTGGTAAAGTAACTTTTTTTTTTCCTTATTAGTACATATTAATGATACAGGGTAATGGGTCTCACCGTGACAATTCCATATACTCACAGCACATGTTCTGATCATCTCCCTCCTCACTGACCTCTTATCCGTCACAACAACCTCCCCACCCTACAACCCCTTCTCTCTCTAACAGACTTTTGAGAAGCGAATAGCTCTTAAGGTTTATGTAGCCAAAAGGTAAGCATCTACCCCGCTATAAGAAAAATCTCCAAATCCACACTGTGCTGCGGATACACTGCAGACACCACTGTAAGGTCTCCATGCAGACGGAGGTGGTGCCTTAATCTCCTTTTCACAGATGCATGAACACTACAGCTTGGTGAAGTCTAGTGGCTCAAAACCTTTCAGAGTCCAGATGCCTCTGCTAGGATCCTCTCCCCAGACAAAGTGCCCAGGGCAAGTCTCAGTTTGTGACTACAGAACATTCTTTAAACATGAAACCATGTAGAGCTGAAACTAATAAAATGTAGGATTTTAGGAATGAAAACATAGACTTACATAGAGGCGTGACACGGTTTTCCCGCCTACTGTTAGGGCTGCTGTTTTTCCATTATGTTTTTCCTTGGGAGTGTATTTCAACACATGACAATCTTGTACCTGAAAACAAACAGAACCCTAAGCTTGTAAGATGATCCACCATCCATAATGAGAGCCTAGGACAATTAGGATTTCCAGAATTACTTAACTCATTATCCCTCTAACACCAGCTGCCTTTAATCAACACTGTATTCGCAAAGCCACCTTTGCGTTGTGTGTTACTCTACTCTGTTCATTTGCACTGCTTGGAAAATGTCTCAAGCCTATCATGTTCACATATAGTTCACTTAGGCCCTGACTGTAACTGTGATCTCAGAGTGGACTCTCTTCTTCCTCTGTCTGGGATACACATTTCAACCATTACACGTTATATACACACATATCCTTATGTGTTTTATGTTTTCTTACCTGAAGTAATGTGACTACATGCTTTTGACCGTCCTTGGTCCACAAAGGCATCATGCCCAGCTTCAGGGCAACAAGGCCAACTCTGGAAGAACCTGGCAATAAAAACAATATATTCAAGAATATTTACTGATGTAAATATCTCTAACTATATCAGGTACAATACACTGGTGTTTAACAAATGTTTGTAAAATGAGAAAATGTGAAATAATTCTAACATTTGAGTTTTAAAATAATAGTATTAATGAAGAGCATAAAAATTCATCATTAATCCTTCTTAGATTCACTTCGTGTCCTGCATTATCAATCAGAAAACATCAATTCAAATTCTAAGGCATCAGTTGGTATTATACTACACAGATGCCACAAGTTGTCCTATTGAAATGGACTTTGTTAAGATGTCTGGGGCTGGGAATGTAGTTCATTTGGCAGAGTGCCTGCTAGTATGGACAAGCCCTGAGTTTGATCTTGTGAGGATCCTATATCCCATATATATATATATATGATATATATATATATATATATATATATATATATATATATATATGATATATAACTCGGCACTCAGGAGATAGAAGCTGGAAAATCAGTTCAAGGCCATCCTTGACTAAAGTGAGAGCTCAAGCCAAACTAGACTTTAAGTTTTGTCACTAAACAATTTGTCTCAATAATCCAGAGAATGTAATTCAACAGGAACACCCCCGCCACCCCCCAAAAAGGAAAACCCCTATCCTGTTTGGGCTGGCCACACATGAATTTAGTATCCCACCAGAGACTGCTGATTCTGGAACTATGCTTGCCCAAACAGCACACAGGAATCCCAACCAGGAGACATTTTACTCTCTGTTTTTCCAGACTCTTTTCCTGGCTTTTCCTTTCATTTTACATTCTTTGTATTTGAAGGAAGGTAATATATCCAGAATGATTTTCCTCTCACCAACAAAACACCTTCCTGAAAAGGTCTTTTATAGCAGCATGTGAAGAGGTTGGAAATAAGCTAGCAAACCAAAGCAGAATGAAACAGACACACCCACAAAACGAAAATTCAAGATGCCAAATGTATAAAGCAGTCACCATGTTCATGCATCCAATCATACTATAACTAAGAGGTCACACCTCAAATTCCCCTCCCCCAAATCACCTGGTTTCCAAGGCTGTAAAGGCCATGGCTCATCTTTCAGGGGATTAAGTTTACTTGCTAATAGGGCTTTATTTTCATCAGCGACCAGTTGTTTAACAAATGAGGCATTTTCTTCAGAAAGATGCTCATCCCACCAAGTACTACTTTTGCTTTGGAGATTTCTAACAAAGAGCCAGATGTTTGTTCTGAAAAACAAAACAACTCCAAATCATTATTTTCATGTCATGTAGGGGAGACCACAGTTAAGATAATGTACTAAAGGCTTCAGGGAATGGTGCAGATTGTGTATTTTCCATAACATTTCTTGTGGTAAGACTGGGCCTTTAGCTTTAACCAAGCAAGGTTACCCTGAAGGCTAAATTTATCTTTTCCCTCACAATAAACAACCCAGCCTAAGCACACATAGGGCTACTAACCCAAGTGAATGTGCATTTGACAGCTTTATAAAGAGGTGGCAGCATGTGGCCACTGAATTTTCTCTAAGTGTAACTCCTACCTGTAATGACAGGGGCTATGCTAAGAAACTAAATAAGCAGAGCTGTTTTGTTTTGTTTGAGTTAGGGTTTCTCTGTGTAGCCTTGGCTATCACTGGTTTAAAGTCACTCTGTAAACCAGGCTGGCCTTGAACTCAGAGATCAGCCTGCCTCTGCCTCCCAATGGCTGGAATGAAAGGCGTGTGTCACCACCCACCAAACATACAGTTTTAAAAGCAAAATTAAAACGCACGACCTCTGTCCAGCAGATCGTAGCAGGCTTGAGGAACAAAGTTTGTTTAATTCTTGCACGGATCGGGGCAGAACGTAATAAACCCCTGTGCAGTCTACTTTGGTTGGCAATCAGGAAGTTCCAGCTTGGAATCTCGAGTGATTTTCTACTTATTAGCCGAGTGGCTCTGGACAACCTACCTCCCTTTAGTTTTCAGTTCTATCTGAAAAACTTCTGCTCACAGGGGCCATAGGACTAAGGCCTAATATGACAACACAGTAAAGTCTAGTAAAGTACACGCTGGTTAGAAGATATTATTGTTGCTGATAACGGTAGCAGCTAACCCTCAATTTCTTAGACATTAAGACAAAAACAAACAAACAAAAAAAACCCCACTACTCCTTCAAGCCTTTAAAGATCCTTCCTCAATCTTCTGTGTCAAACTACTGGACTCATGACCCCTTCCGCTTCTAACAGACCCTCTGCGCCGGGCCAAGTCTGTTCAAGGATACAGTAGTGTGGGTTGCTCACCCCTCCAACCCCTCTGTTGTTGCCCATACCCACCTACTCCCTAAGCCCGGGGCAGCACCTAGGCCTCCGGCGCCACGGCCCAGCACCTGGGCGCCAGACTGCGCCAGCAGCCTCCAACCCGGCATGGAGTGGACAGGCAGGGCTCAGCTCGCAACACCTCCCGGCGCGCCGCCGCGGAGCTTTCAGCAAGTCCCCGACTCAAGGACCACGCATTCGCAGTCGGCCGGGACAGCAGTCACACCACTTATCCGTCAATGCCCTCCACGGAGGAAAAGCACAGTCGAGCCACTTCCGGTCCGTGTCTCAATGAGTTCCGGCATAATCTCGATACCCTTAACTATGGTTCCTTCTCCAAATGGTCCTACGTTGTCAATGGATTGAGCGATTGACGCCTCTTTAGCGGCGGGAAAGAAAGTATTTGGGCTTTAAACTTTAGAGGAACGAGACAAGAAAAGACCAAACTTTCTTAGAAAGCTAAGGAAAGAGAAGTCATTTTCAATAATGCTCACTGCGGGACAACTCATTGTGTGTACTAAGCAGCACTTTGGCAATTTTATATTAGTTAAGATCAGTTCTGAAGAGAAGTTATTTCTGTACTATAAAGGATGAAACAAGGACTTAAAATTTATGTACATGCCAAAAACAGATGGGCAGAATTAACACTGAAATAGGCTGGCATATGTTAACAATAGAATGGGGGCAAAACTATGGCATGCGCCTTTCAGGGCTGGGGCATAAACAGTCCTAGGCCATTCTCCCACTCATGAAAGACTTTGAGCCTGAGTCATCTAGAGAGGAGGCTCATGAATTCGAGACCAGGTGTGATTGCTGCAGCAAATAGTGTTATCGCAACGTTTCAGAATGGTTATGATACAGCTACTGATAGCAGCTCTGTCTTCTATTCCCTAGGTCCAGCCCGACCTTGTATGTAGTAGGCATTCATTTCCCTACTCCAAAAGTCCCATTCTCAGTCTCTCCAGTGTTTTTGGATAGGCAGAAATGACAATTTGGCCTTTTCAGCTTCCTCTTTCTTTCTTTCTTTCTTTCTTTCTCTTTCTTTCTTTCTTTCTTTCTTTCTTTCTTTCTTTCTTTCTTTCTTTCCTTCTCTCTCTCTCTCTCTCTCTCTCTCTTTCTTTTTTTTTTTTTGAGACAGGGTTTCTCTGGGTAACCTTGTCCCTTCTGGACTTGCTTTGTAGACAAGGCTGGCCTCCAGCTCACAGATATCCACCTGCCTCTCCTTTCCTGAGTGCTGGGATTACAGGCATGGTACCACCATGACTGGCTGTTTAATTTTTGTTTGTTTGTTTTAAATTAAAAATCTGGATAACCTAGCTTAGAAGGTCCAGGAGGGACCTTGGACTTGCAGGCTCAAAATCTTTGCTTGTTTTTACACCCCGCTAAGCACTGGTGTGGGTGACTTGGCCACTTCTCAATAATATATTGAGCCTTAGAGAAAAGAGTTCATTGCTTCATCTTGGCTACCTGGATTCACAAATACTTCAGATAGGCACTTCCGTTGAGTCTTGACATACACTATTTATTAGAATAAGAAAAAAAATCCTTACTATCACCAATATCTACTATTTTGTATGCCTCTAGTGAACAATAGTATGTGCTCAGTATTGTATCTGCCCATCAGTCAATGATAACCTGGAGGACACAGAACTCATAGGAAGTTTAGTTTAATTATCTCAATGCAACAAGAAGGATCATATGCCTGGGGATGTCAGTGTAGGAGTAGGTTAGGAGAGGTTTATTGCAATATTTGGACCTACCCAGGGTGTTTTTAAGGGACTAGCAAGAAATGAATTTATGTTCAAATGCATACTATGAAGAATTAAAGACAGTTCAGCAATTAGGCTTCTTAATCTTTGTTCTGGAGACAGGAAGACCATATCGGGGATTGAAAACCATTGATGATCCTGTTAGTCATATTTTTATCAGCCTTTAGAAATAGCATGTTGATGTTCTGTTGTAGACAGCAGTGTGGGTGGTAAAAGGATTCATTTTCATTCTCTCAGTATATTTTTCCCACTTAATCTTTGTAATAACCTCATGTGATGATACCATCATTATCCCAACTGTAGCAAAGGGAGAGTGCATGACTTAAATAATGTTACTCAGCTAGTAAGCGGCAAAGCCATTGTTAAAATTGTGGCAGTGTCACCATAGAGATATTTTCCTTGACATTTTATTTCTAGACATTTGTTTCTCAGTAGCATCTGTGTTACGATTCTTGCCTTGGAACTCCTCTAAGATAGAGAAGAAAATGAATATGTACACCAAATACAATGGCTTAGGATAAGGGAGTATTCAGGTAACTTTGTTTCTAGTGCAAGTTTTACCTGATCAAGAGCGACATTATATCAATGAAACTGATGATAGGTACCACTGCTGAAGTGAATCAAAGCAAAATCATAATTTACTGTCCTGGGGCTTGGATTTGAAGTTAGCATTTTTTATTTGGCATTTAGTATGTACTTATAAGTGACTGTCCCAGGTCCCAAGAGACCTAACACAGGTTTCCTTAGGGGATGCATGCATTGACTTCAAGCTTCCCATAACTTGTTATGCTCTTCCTAAGAACTGCCCAGATACTAGGACCCCCAGTTCAGTTTGCATTGGTAGAACATCATTTCTCAATAAAGCATCAATAACCTGCCCAGTCTCTTTTTAATATGACAGTTCTTTATTTTTGCTAGATCAGCCCAGACTTTATGGTTTCAAGAAACTAGCCAATGAAAATAAAATTTGAAGAAAACAAAAGGAAGAAGCAAAGAGAGAGGAAGTAAGAGGAAATGGAATGGAGGAGGAACAGGAAGAGGACACGAAAGTGGAGGGTGGAAGAGGAGGGAAAAGGAAGGAAGAATGAGAACAGCAACAAGTAGAGGAAGCCACCACAAGTGCGGCTATCATGACATTTTGAAAATAGTTTCCCAGTGTCTCCTTCTGTTGTTTTTAGTGCGTTTCTGAGATTTAATATAATTCTACGAATGGGCATTTAAATTTTTTATCGTTATAAATATGTTAGCAACAGAAAGCAGAACATCACATATGAGGGGAATGCATGCCTTCAGTCGAAACCATCTGTCTTGTCTCCCTCCCATTGCCAGGCCATTATTGCAGTGATCGCCATTTATATTTGTAATTGCATGCAACTTAAAGAATAGGTAACTTTTCCACTCAGCTTAAACAAACAAACAAACACAACCCCCACAAACTATTGGAGCTTTACTCTTTGGCTTTTATTGTGAAATCATCAGTACTTGAGGAGCTCACGGCAAGAAAGATGAGGGACGCAAACAGACAAATGTGTGTCCAAGTAAAGACCATACAAACTACTTAAAAGGATTCTCATAGAGGAGATAAGGTAATTTTTTCCTTGTGGTAAGAGGAATGTTGTCCAGGAGTAGAGAAAAGACATTATAAATGAAAGGAATACAACTACTGTAAAACAAGAAACCACTCCAAGCCCTAGGGAACAGAATAGCCATTGTTGTATTATCTGTATGGATTCTCTTTGCCAGGGTGGTAGAAAGTACAGGGAAATGATAGCTTGTTTTTTCTGTAGTTTCTCAAATGTTGGCTGGGACAAAGATGAGGGCTCATGTCATCTGGTGGCCAAACCACCTTCAGGGTTATTTCTTCTGTATGTGGTGGTAGCCAGGCAGATGCTGCTTTTGTGGTTGGAACCCGTGTCTGGTCTCTGCTTATGCTTCTTCAAAATATGGTGATTAGCTTCCAAGAGCAAGCCTCACAAGTAAACACACATAGGTTGTGTAATACACTTCCACCTAGCCTCGTGAGACACATTGTGTGATTTCTACTGCCGCCACAAGCTGGTCCCTGTTTAAGGGGAAGGATCATCCTGAATGGGAACCTGGCAAAGGTCCACAAGAAGAAGAGCATGGGGGCTGGAAGACATTGTGAGTACTTGAAGGCCACAAACACTATATGTCCAGGTAGATGAGTAAGATTGGCTTTAGGTTGTTGTGAGAACAGACTGAGGGCTGACTGCCCTGACAGAGTGAGACCATGAGAACTTTCAGACTAAGTCTGTATGTTTACAAGAGAGACAATATGCTTTGTGTCATATTTTCCTTTGCTCATTGGAGAAGTTTCCAGATATACATCTAATACCTCTTCCTTTTAGAGGGGCAAAGGCAAGGGCAAAGCAGTGCATGTGTCCAAAGGACAGGAGGACATGACAATGGGCCAGCATGAGCCACTAAGACTAGGACAAAAGTCAGACAGGGCAGGCTGCTGACCTCAGGATCATTTCCAGCCATGTCTGCATGCTCCTGTGGCAAGCATCTGGGGTGGGTCCAGGGAAAGTGAGCGAACTATGAAGGATGGGGAGAGGACTGCCAGGCTGCTCCGGAGTCATGTGGCGACAGTGGTTTCTCCATCTGTGGCATTTAGACTCCAATCAGGCCTAGAAGCATCGTCATGGCAACTTGCCCATCTGAACCGCTGAGCTGAGACAGGATTCCCTTAGTAACAGAGGAGCTGGGAGATGATGCTTAAAATAATCTTTTATGCCCAGAAAGAAATGCCTTCGCAGTTTGATTAGCCATGTAGCATCCTGGGGCCTGGCTTTCACTCTCACTTTATATCAAAATGAAACAAAATGGTTTTTTAAAGCAAGGATTTCACTGTCTCCACTGCACAAAGAGTATATCCCACTGAAGCCAATGAATATCACTCCTAAGTTTCTAGAGTTGCTGGTCACTGTTACATAAATTGCTTCCAAATAGAATAGACGGTCTCCATCTGAAATCACTGGGCTTCATCTAATCTCTTTTCTATATCCCGCTGAAGTCCCAGCAGTCTCTCTGTGGGGGAAATAGTTCTGCTAAACAAGAGTTTAACGCTTAGGTCATTTAGCCTGACAGCTCCTTGCATCTGATGGCCCTCCTTGTGTGTGCCTCCCCTCCAATTTTCCCTCAGCTGCGGCTCTGTCTCCTGCATGAGCGCTTCCTTGTGACTGATAACCACGGCTATTAATTCCTCTCCTTTCTCAGCATTTGCCGTGTGTGTAAGCATGTCCTTCCATGGCTGCACCACCCTTTGTTTTATGCAGCGAGAAGACTCAAGTTCCTAAAGCATCTCTTTTCAGTAAGTCTGTGGGCTCTCAGGGTGGGGGAAGTGGCCCAGAGGTCAATGCTTGCTTAGCCTGCATCCAGCCCTGTTCATTCCCCAGCCAAACAAAGAGATTGTGGCCCACTGTAAAATCTGTAGATCCTCCTCGGCTCCTTCTCCTCCACCTTCATTATCCC